GGACATTAGTGGAATTCTAAAGAGCAAGGGCTTTGGTGCATCTCATTCCTGTGCATTGCAGATCCAGGACGCAGCCTGAAAACAGCCAGCTGAGGCTGGTGTGGTGTGGTGAAGCGTGAATGCACTTGGGTTCTAATCTTAGCTCTGTCACCAAAGTGCTGTGGGACCTTGGGGGAAGTTACTTATTCCTCTTGTGTCAGTGTCCTCGTTTGTTAAATGAGGGTCCCTTGCAGCTCTTACCTGGGGGTGGGTTTTTAAACCTTAAGTGGTCACATCTGATGCCTGGGCATGCATGTCACTGCCATTCAGCTGTCACTCCCTTGGTTGTCATTTCAGGGTACATGGAAGGGGCTGCCTTTGACTAGGACCCTTCTGGGGTGCTGGAGTCTTGCCCCGCGTTTTGCATAGTGTCTAACAGCTTTTCTGGGAGGCACAAGAAATGACCGCAGATCCCTATACAGATGTTCTCCCCAGCCCAGTGCATCCTGCCCCTCACTGTCTGGGTGATGGCTTCCCACTAGGAAGTGAGGCCTCAGATCCCAGGGAGATATGAGTACAGGAGCTTGGCTTAGGACCCAGCTTGCAGAACTCACCACTTGTTTTCTGTAGCCGTCTGGCCTGTGGTGGAGGGGGGCATGGCTGAGAGGCCATGGGCTGGCCTCCACTTGTTAGATTTAGATGTAAGTTCTGCAGTGGGCTTTTATCTTCAACACTTCTGTATCTGTTACATGGTAAGGTAGATAATGCTGTAGGTAATTGGAGGGCTGGGTTCAGGCTGGAAAGGAATTGAAAGGTGGTCTGCTGTTGCTAACTACCTTCAACCAATAAGCCAATAAGATTAACTGAATGGAGAATATTTGACTGTTACCATGAGTAGAGTGGAATTGTCCAGAACACTGTGCCTGAGGTCACATCTCCCCTTTTTGGGAGGAGTAGGAGTTTTCTCAGATTGCTAGGGAAGTTGCTGTCTTTGAGACTCCTTGAAGCCTCGGAGAGCATGAATCGCATTCTGATGGGTGTGGATTTGATTTACTCTTTTCCTTTTGCTCTGCTCCAGAATTGAGCTCCGGGCCCTGGGCAAGATCTCAGAAGGTGAGGAGCTGACCGTGTCCTATATCGACTTCCTCAACGTCAGTGAGGACCGCAAGAAGCAGCTGAAGAAACAGTACTACTTTGACTGCACGTGCGAGCACTGCCAAAAAGGGCTGAAGGATGACCTCTTCCTCGGGGTGAAAGACGACCCCAAGGTACACAGAGCCCTGCTGTGGGGTGTTCGTGGCCATCAAGGAGCCAGTCAAGAGGGGATTCCACAGCTAATCAATATGCTTCTGCCCAATGCCTTCCCAGAGGACCAGCCTCTAACCATTGGGGAGGTGGCATGGTGTGGTGGCTAGTGCAGTACTAGTGTCCTGGCACCACCACTTGCCGGGTGCTTGCATTTGGGGAAGCCATTGAGTTTTCTCTTCGGTAAAATAGGAATAATGGTCCCAGTACAAGGGGTTGTTACAAGGACTAAACAAGATGATGTATGTAAAGGGACCAGCATATAGAGTAGACGCTCGGCAAATTTTGGTTCCTCCTCCTGCCCCTTTACAGGTTAAGGAATGCTGAGAATTTCAGATATCGCGATGAGACTGGCAAAGGAGTTTGCTGTCTGGTCATTATAAAGATACTCCTATGGAGACTGGGCAATGTTTAGCTTGGTTGATGTCCTTTACTCCCTAGCAGCTGTTGCTGCTGAGTCCTCTGAGCAGCAGAGCACCAGAGGAAGGCTTGCTGAGGGGACGTAGGAGCTCAGCTGAGCTGGGAGGGAAGCTGAGCTGCCAGGTGTCAGAGTAGCTGATGAAAGCAGCAAGCTGAAAAGGAGAGTGGAGTCTGTAATCACTTACTACAATAGTGTAAGCAAGAAGCTAAAACCGGAGAAAGTGTCGCCTCCCCTGGTCCATTTCCTCCCATGGAGCAGTGCACCAGCGAGGGTCAGGTGGATCAGCACAGGTATGGGGGCATCTCACTGTTGAGGGAGCCCCAACAAAGCCTCCAGCAGCTTTACAGACCTAGGGTTGGAGGGAAGTAGAGGGTGAAGTGCTAGGGATGGAAAAGTACTGGGTACCAAGTCAGAGTGGGGAAAAGTGTCTTCAAGGCTTCGCCCTCTTCCTTCCATAAGGAGGCCTCAGCAGAGGTGCTGAGGAGGACCTTAGCCCAAGGTGTCAGATAAAGAGACCCAAGAATGAAGGTGCCCAGGCCAGGAATGCAACTATGTGAAGAGCATGACCACACAGGGAAGCCTAATTTCTTGACTGCATCGTGCACTGTCTCCCTCCCCGCCACCCTCCCAGACAGCCATGCACTGGCTGTGCACCAGGTCTGGTGGACGAGGGCAGCTTTCTGCTGAGGCCTGCCAGGTAAAGCCTTTGTCATTGCCTGTGGCAGGGCCTGAGAAATCACACATAGGTTTTTAATCAGGAGCCAGACTTTCAGGGGAGGTTAACTGAGCATTTCTATAAAACTGACAGTCTACTAGTGTATTTAATATACAAATACTTAAATGTACTTCTAAACTAACTTCCACATCCTATATGAGAGCAGAAATTTGCCTCTGATTAGAGCAAAGGCTACAAGCAAAACTGACTCCTCGGTACGGATGGTGTGGCCCCCTCAGGGACTTTCATTACTCAAAGGTGTTAGTGCTAATAATGTTCAGATAATACTGTCCCCCCATCCCTAACTCATCTCTCCCTTTCACCCCCTGGCTATTCTAGACATTTTTTTTTTTTTTGCCACCAACTTATTTAAATTCTCAATACATAATATTTTTTACCTGCTGACCAAGTTCTTCTAAGAATTTACCCTGCAGACATACTGGCACACGTGCACAAAGATATACAAGGAACTTCAAAAATTTCATGGAAAGACTTCTCTTATCTTTCAATCCTATTTTTCTATGAATTTATTGAGGTAACCTTGTATGTAAAGACAGACATTGCAGCATTATTGTGAACAACAAAATATTGAATAAAATCGAAACAACCACAGTAGAGAAATATTTAAATGAAGGAAATACCCTGCAATTATTAAAATGAAGGAGGTAAATCTTTACGTACAGACTTGGAATGAGCTCTATTTCTCAAGGGAAAAGAATTAAGGGGCTAAACAATGCCATGGGTATTAGTTTGCTTGGGCTGCTATAACAATGTACCATAAACTGGGTGGCCTGAACAACAGAAATTTGTCTCATAGTCCTGGAAGCTGGAAGTCCACAATCAAGGTGTGAGCAGGGTCAGTCCTTCTGAGGGCTGTGAAGGAAGGATCTGTTCTGATCTCTCTCCTGGGCTTGTGGTTGGTGTCTTCTGCCTGTGTCTCTTCAAGATGTCTTCCCTCTGGGCTTGTCTTTTTCTCTCTGCATGGCATTCTTTTTTAAAGGACCCCAGTCATATCGGATTAGGGGCCCACCCTACTTCAATATGATCTCATTTTAACTACTTACATCTGCAATGATCCTATTTCTAAATAAGGTCACATTCTGAGGTTCTGTGGGGGATAGGAGTTCAACATGTGAATTTTGGGGGGATACAATTCAACCCATAACACTGTGTGCACTACCATTTATGAAAATTAAAAGGGATATACACACTCACACAAACACAGACCCATGCTCACACAGGCATGGGCAAGCATAGTCCGTCTCCATACAGACAGAAGTAGGAGAGGAGGCTGTGACCAACAGGTCGACAATGCCTAAGGTAGAGAAATTGGCAGACAGCCCTCCCAGGACAGGAGACAAAGCAGTTGGGACCCAAGGATTAACATGTTCTTTATAGGAACAACATCCTTTTCATAGAATCAAAGTTCCTGTATTCCAGACAGTCTATACTAGCATGTATGCATGAGGCAGGAGTGCAGTGTCATAGGTGCTACAGAGAAAAGTCATCACTGTGTCCCCCCACCCCGGACCTTCAGAACCTGTGGGATAACATGTCTTCTTTGCGAGCCAGCAGCCTTCCCTCCTGGAGCCTGGCCCTGAGTGTTTGTTTCATAACTTGCTCCCAACACCAATTAATTATTTTGTTAATAGCCCAGACACTCTTTTCTCCCTTCTAAAGTTAAACCATCATGTAGTAATTTTTCTAAATCTTTTGATGTTTACCTGGCAGTTTCCAATACTTCCATAGGTAATATGTGGTCTTCAGTTCCTAGGTCTTCTCAATATGCTCCTGTCTTCCAGCCTAAATTGCAGAGTTGGCATCTCTCTTGATATAAAAGATCTATGGTTTGTGCTTGAACCTACCCGGTTTCAAAGCAAAAGCTTCCTATTGGTTTTTAAATCAAATTGGTTTTCTCTAAACCAATTT